ACTTTCTAAACCCGACAGGATGCCAAAGAAAAAATGAAATGCGCTGCGGTAAACCGGCGTGACAGAATCAGAGTTTGTGATACGGCCAGATGCTATGGTCTATGTACACCGCCTTAAATAAAAAGACGCAGTCACGCAATTTTTATGCGCTTGCCTGCCTCTTCAAAGCCACAAAGCAGTGAAGAGGAAGGGGAGGGAAGAGCAAGGGCCATTCATTATCCATGACCGAATGGGCAACGAAAAGGTCAGCCAGCAGCAATTAGCAAACAGGTTATCTTACATCAGGTCAAAGGCTCGTTTCCACTCTTCCCAATTAGCGGCTCTTTCTTTGAATGCCACACATATGAGTAATCTGAACGGCGATGAGCAAACGAAACAAAGGGACGAATAAAATTTAAAAAATTTGTATTGAGGAAATGTGGTGCACCACTGTGCTGCTGTTCCCTTCCCCGCTCTCTTTTCTAGAAGCGGAAACTAAACTTTCCTTCTACTAAAAATTACATTTATATGTCGCATGCATAAAATAATATTTCATCTCCCAAGCAACTAATAAACAAAAAGCGAGAGCATTGCGCTTAAAAAATGTCCGCTTCACGCAAGACTGGAGGAAACGACCTTCCCCTCATCTCTTGCAAAAATTTTTCCGGCTGTGCATGCCAAATGACTCACAAATCTCAACAGTGCCAAAAGCACAAGTCAAGTCTCAACTCACTACTAATTCCATGTTTACACTGTTCCAGCTATTGAATTCACGCACTAGTATGCCGCGGAGGGAAAGTTTTGAGGGGGGAGGGAGGCGACGCGAAAACCAGTTGCAAGAAAGCAAAGGCCAGACGAATCTGTTCCGAGGCACTAAATCTTGCTAAAAAACATCTTAACAAAAAACTGCAAAATGCCACATCAGGGAGTGTTAAACTACGATAAAAATTGTGCAAAACAGGTAGACAAATTCAACACTGCAGTAATAAAATAATTGGCCACCGCACGAGCTGCCCGTGCGAGGATGCGTTTTTTGCACAGCTCCCCTCAGATTTTTATCGCTAACGGCGCTGGTTTTTCCGGCAGATGCTTCTAGCTAAAAGAATTTCAGACTGGCCGCCAGGACTGTCAGAAAACATCCCTCAAAATTCCAGTCTTCTAGTTCCTCAGGCTCCCGAGTTAGCAACTTACTCGAGAAAGACTTTCACGGGCCCGTACGTGGGTACCACGTTTATCCGGGGACTGAGTTTGAGCTCACTAACACATACTTGGATGGGGAACATCCCCTCGAAATTTCAGCTTTCTAGCTTCTCTGGCTTCCAAGTTAGCAGCTGCCCGTAAAAAACTTTGGCGGGCCCGTACATGGGTACCACGCGGGAAGAGAGCGCCCATTTTGGGGATGGGGGCCCGTAAACGCATGTAGATTAAGGTCCTCAAGTTTCAGCCCTGTAGCTCTTGTGGATCTTGAAATGAAAAATCGGTACAGACGAACACACAGACACACACACACACACACACACAGACAACCCCTCGTCAATGTGCGTTTTCTGCATTGTATAGCTGCAAAAAACGCATAAAAACAGTAACACGCATCAACGTAGACGGTGCGATCATGCGTTTTGCGCAATTCCTTCCAGCGGACGTTCCCCGACTAAATATATAACTGCTTTACATTTTCGTGTGTGGAAAAATAGTAGATATGCTGTCCTAAAGTGAAGAACTTCCCAGTGAAAATTTCACATGCCGGTACATGAAAGCTGAATTTGAAAACATGGATGGGGGACATCCTTTCAAATTTCAACCTCTTAGTCTTCTGGCTTCCGAGTTAATGACTTTTGTATCAACACTCACGTGGTCTTACGTAAAATCTTTGCATGCTTGGGAGCTAAATTTGAGTTTGTGAGGAATCTGCACAGACGGAAAACATTATCCTGAATTTTCAGCCTCACAGCTTTTCTGGTTCCCGAGATAATAATTTTCTCACCAGAACTTCGCCAGACCACATAAGAGACCCAGGCATATTGAAAACTGAAACTGATTCTGCGAGGCTGCATTCTTCCAAAATTCCAGCTCACTATCTTTTATGGCTTACAAGATAGTAATTTACCCTGCGGAAACTTTCACGGAGACGTAATTGAGATTCAGGCTTGACTAAAAACTGTTTTTGAATTGACAGGGCTCACAGGCGAAGAGACTTTCGACACAGGCACCAGTACTGCAAAAGCTTGGGTCTGTTCATAAATAAAACTAAAGTAACTCTAAATATCAGTGGCACAACTCTATTCCCAGTTTTTGCATTGTTCCAGGATGGGAAGGGGTTCTCCCTCTCCCTATCTCCCGTCGTGCCTAGCGAGGAGCCCACTTTCCCGCACTTTCTTCGTCCACCCCTCCCTCCTCCAA